GCGCATGAACGAAACGAAACACACGCGAATCGAACCGAGACAGTCAAACCGAACGGTTTGGACGGTTTTCATAAATCTTCCCATCCCTAGAATCTAACAACTGTTCCAAAAAGCTCTGTGTGTGAGTCATGTCTTTATCCTGCTCCTTCCCTCATGGTTGGATAACTGTAGAGGTGGATAATCCAGGTGCAGAAAGTAAAAAGTCTGTACAGAGATAAGGCGAAATATAACAATCAATCAATAAAACTTAATTTATAGAGTGTTTTGGAGGCGAAATATAACAATCAATCAATAAAACTTAATTTATAGAGCAACTTTTCTTGTCCTCCTTAAACAGTTTCTCTGGTTAATAAAACACTGATATTAATAAAGAAACTCTGCTGTAAGTCCAGCAGATCATGACTGAATCAGTCGGGTTCATCAGAGATGATAACTTTGTTTAGTTCTTCTTCTCTCCATGCTTGTCACAATGAGGGCAATTCGAAATCCAAACTAGTTGTGCTTTGATCTGTCCTGTAGAGCAGGAAGCTGATTTTATCCAGTCTAAACTCTGAGGAACATGTTCTGTTGGTTCCTCAGCTGATAGCGAACAGAGTCTGACTGTCAGATCAGTGAATCACAGCAACAGAATCCAGTTGAGTTTATAGGAGTGTTTCGTGGATGGACAGTTCTCCATCACTGAACCTCCTCCTGAAGTACTCCTCCTCCTGGGTGTTGGTGAAGCCTCGTACTTCTGTTACCGTGGAAACGCAGAAAGGAGGGATCCGACAGGCCGTCACATGTCGGTAGGTTATCCAGACGAGAGCCGAGGGAAGCAGGTTTATAATGTTTAAACATTATTATAGCATCAAGTAGCAGAAACTCACCTTAGATCTGCTGCTCCAGGTGATGGAGACCCTGCCCTGTTCTCCACTGTGTTCCTCCACATGTTCCTCTGCGTGTTCCAGCATGAATCCAATCTAAGAAGGAAATAAACACTCTTAGTTAACATGTGGTTCAGTCTCAGTTTCACTAATTCACTTTTCTTTTTGTGCTTTTGCTGCTTTGCTTATCTTATTTGTATTGTGTATTTGTTCTCTGCAGTGTTGTTTCTGACAGCCACCTTAGATTTAGTCTGTTATTAGTTTTAGTCACATTTTAGTCATTACTATATGTGACAGTTTTAGTCGGTTTCAGTCAACTAAAACTCAAAAAGGTTTTAGTCTAGTTTTAGTGAGTTTTATCATCCAATTTTTAAAACAGTTAACCTTTAGAATTTAGAGTAGCAACCAGATTCTCTAGCAGACTCACAGCTCTAGCCTAGATACTACAGTTGCTGGGTATAGAATGCAGCTGTGAAGTTCATCATTTCTGTTAGGCAGAAAACTGATTTCTACAATTCAAATAAACTTTTTTTAGGAATGAATGCCCTACTTTATAAAAAAAAGTGTCTCACAAAATTTGTGAAAATAGCATATCTAGTTCAACACATCATATTGGTTAATGTAGCAGACAGACAAGCTAACAAAATGTACAATAAAGGAATGGTTTTGATATGCAAGGTTTCCATCCCAAAGCAAACATTGCGTGATCTAATATGAATTATGCATTACACACAGATCAATGAAATCTTCATTGCTTCAATAAAGCAAAGAACAAAAACGTTCATCTTTCTACTTTGGCAATTTTGGCTTTATTTCTGAGAATTTAGCCCTTGGTTACCCCTGCTCAGGGCTCAATATAGATTTAAATCAAAGAGGTCAGATTTAAAAAACAAATTACACAGAGAACCTACATAATTCCCTTATAATGCCACTGCAATCCGGACCTAAGTTTCAATATGTTAACAAAAATGTAGAAATATTCAAATAGATAGAAACAAGAACTATGAGAGAGAGATATTCAGATATCTATGTAACTTTTCATCCGGGTCTTTATCCAAAAATAAACAGTATGCAATGAAATATTTTCTTTGGATATAATTTAGGGATTCCTTTCGGTAGAAATTAAAGAAGGTTTAGCATCACCTCTTGTAAGCTGGAAGAAATAAAAAGCCTGATAGTTTGACAAAGGGATGTTTCACGCTTACCACAGGATGGTCAGCCACATATAATTAATTAAGTAGCAAGGGCAGGAAGAGCCATACTGCTGAAGGCCAACCATCAGTGTGGAGCCTAAAGCCCCGACTATGAGCTACGTGCGTGGAAAGAAACATTTCTGCTCAAGCACAACTGGAAGAGCAGCGTTTTTCAGAATTTAGCGTGCAGTACTGGACCATTCTTGATTATTTTCACCCCTGCTGCTGCTGCTATGGTCCATCTGTGGTCATGCAGAATGTGCACCATTACACACCAGGTGGGCAGCATGACAAAACAGGATGCAGCAGCACAGCTGATACTGCTTAGCAGATTACAGCACAATGATACATTATAAATGTGTGACAGATCACCTGCTAATATTTTTATCCAGCCTTGTCCAATCAACAAAAACTCACACCCATGACTCGTTATTATTTCGCCATCAAAGATCCAGTTTAGCTCAGCCAGTGAGCTGAGCTGGAGCACAGAGTCAGTCTGGACCACTGAAACCAGTTCAAACTGGGAGCTGCAGATGAGCTTTTAGTGTTTTTCTACAATCACTGCTGAGATGAACTAAAATGATCAATGAAACATTTATTCTGAGTTCCTCAGATAAACTGCAGCCTGAATGAAAGCTGAGGGTTCTGTTGAGCTCACAGCACGGAGCGGACAGAGAGATGAGAAAGTTTTGTCTTCCAGCAGATCATCTCTGAGGAGGCGTTGGCCCCTCTGGCCCCTGCCTTTAGCCGGCCTTAAACCTGACAGGTATGAGGGTGGAGAAATCAGGAAAGACATGCAGCTGATGGAGCCAGAGCAGGAACCAAACCCAGGAGAATCGGATCAGGGACTATAGCCTCGGCGCATGGAGCATCTACTCTACCACTGAAGCACCCAGTAGAACCTGAACTGGATCAGAGGCAGCGTGACGCTAAGGTTTGTTTGATGCTGGGAGGAAAGAGACGCCACAGAGCTGCAGATGAACAGCTGCTGGGAGA